TATAATATATTAATGTGAATTACCAGCCACGTGAAAGCGTTAGTTGCCCTGCTTGAGTCTGACCGCTTCTGATGTTACCGATTCAACTAAGTAACGTGAGGTTTAGTCAGTTTGGAACATCACCTTTAATGAGTCAGTCACTTTGAAAATAAGTCTTGAAGAAGTAATACCAACATGATAAAATCACAACTCAGCTAAAGGCGACTATCCAACGCAAATACACACATGTGTTCGTGATATTAATAAAGATTATTTTCATTATGCTTCACATTTTGTAACTAGTCCATATATTGTTTAGCTTAGACTCACTTTCAGAGAAGTTTATTATAACTTCTCAATTTATCGTGCTGAGCCTTCTGTTATATAGTGGATCTATCTAATTTACTCTTTCGGGAAATCAGTTTACCTGAAAATTCTAAAGATCTATGGAAAGATTAATCTGAGTTTTAAAGAGAAGATTATTGCATAATGTCACGCAAGTATAAGTGTAGACTGAACTTGGAGAGTAAATTTTAATTTATAAAATAGATCTAATTAAAATGTATATTAATATATTTTGTAATGTCCATTCTATAAAATGGAATAGGCCTTTTTATACCTTAAGTTTATACCTAATAAACGAACAGCACACACTCCACTTGTTTTAAAATAATATATTCAAAACTATATACAAAAATTATTTACTCTATGGACTTACAGTTGTATCTCAAACTCTAAGTAATTTCCCTTTCTTGTCAAAAGTCCACTTAAGCTGATTCAATTACTTTAAAGTCCAATTGACAAGACGAACTATTTTTCTGTACTCTTATCACAATAGTATCAGTGAATAATTAACTTATGCTACCCTGTGGGTTACCACAGTTGTATCCTGAACTTTAAATAAATGTCTCCTTTACGTAAAAGTCCACAAAGACGGGTTCGATTACTTTAGAACATCTTTTAACCAGACAAATTATTCTTCTTATCGCTATTAAACTGTGAAACTCACTTAAAACCATCGCCCGTTATGACTAATCGCTCACACGCTGGCTAACTTCATGTTTTCTAACTTTTTTTCTGACTTAACTGCACTTTCACTTCACTTTTTCTCTACCTTCTAGTTAACTTGCGCTCGCTTCGTCACCTATATTTATACTTTGTTCACTGAGGCTTCGAACTTTCTCTAAACTATGCGAGCATCGCTATAATGTAACAATACTCAGTTAAAGTAACGAGAAAATACTGAAAATTCGAGTAACTTTACGTCAACAATATTAGTAAAGCCTAAACAACAATGTAATTGCAAACACAGTGTACAACTCGTTCAGAGTTATGTAACAAAAATGTGTCACAATTAAGACTTTTAAAATAATCAATATTCCACACTGCTTTCATGAAAACTAAACGATCATTAGAGCTTAAGTCACAAAATAAACTAAATGATACCACTTACACTAAACAGTCTTGTATATCTATGAGCATTTTAGACATTGATCATGGTTACAATGATTGTTTGTTTGTTTTTTGAATTTCGTGCAAATCTACACGAGGGCTATCTGTGCTAGCCATCCCTAATTTAGCAGTGTAAGACTAGAGGGAAGGCAGCTCGTCATCACCGCCTACCGCCAACTCTTGGGCTACTCTTTTACCAATGAATAGTGAGATTGACCGTCACATTATAATGCCCCCATGGCTGAAAGGGCGAGCATGTTTGGTGTGATGAGGGATTCG